AGTTTTGGAGGCGCCACTTAGCCGCGCACCGCTACATCTGGATCTGTCATTTTCCTTTTTTCCTTGCCTTTCCGGGAATTTTCCAGTGTCCCTCTCCGGAGTCCCGAGGCAGCGGCAGGGTAGTTGACAGTCTCTTTCCGAAAGAGACTCTGGGAGCTGTGGAGCTCTCTGCTGGATCGCCGGATAATCCCCGGCTCTCTTTGAAGCCCCGCAAGGCGCATATTTCACACCCTGTTGTTTGCTTTCGCCCGGAACGAGCTAATTAGATCACAGGAGGGGGGGTTCTGACGCTGCAGTAGATAATCCCCCCACATTGGGCTGCCTGCCCCCCCCCCTCGGGTCCTAAAGCACAGCTCCTAATGTCCAGTCTTACGGCATCCTGCCAAATTAAAATGAGCACCCCTGGTTGTGGCAGGGTTGCCCAGTTTTCGCTAGGACCTCTCCACGCACCCCTCAACACGAGTACAAGCACCTTGGTTAGGCCCTGCATCGGCAAGCTTGCCCAAACTGCGCCCGTCCTGCTGCGTTTGTGTCTGGATTTTCACTTGGAGCTCACGCGCAGTGCGCCTCGTCTGGCTTTCGAATCGCTGTCCCGCCTGTTCACCAGCCACGCCAGCGCAGCCAGCAGAACCGCCAGGTTCATGCCAGGTCACTGTGCAGCACGTGGATGATGATCTTATGGCTTTTGTTGCTAAAGGACTGGTCACCTGACAGAAGCCCAAGCCTTTTCTTGACCGTCGGTCAGCTGTCACAGGTGCCTGACTGGAGGAATCAGACTGATTGTCTGGTTCTACCATCCAGATCATTTCTTCCTTTGGACCGGACCTCTCTCTGCTCTGCAGGTCCAGAACCTAGCGGAATAATTTTTCCCAGCTGGGAATTACTTTTAGAAATCCTACAGACTCTTACTCCAGAAGTATTGAGGCACAAATTTTTATATCATTTTTCAACCCAAAGACCCCTCAAGTGCTTTACATATAGAAGTGAACCAGGTGAACCACATTGGTACAGCTGCACCAGTTGAATAAAGTGAGAACTTTCGGGTTTCCAGACTTGGATTGAGCAAGGACACAGGGGTTTATACTCCAGTTCTTCTTCAGGCCCGGAGGGAAGAGCACCACCTGCGGGCCCACCAGCGCCACCTACAGCAGCAAACAGGTGTTCCTTGGAGGCCTCCCCTTATGGACCTGGCCAGGCCCGGCCTTCAGACTAGGAGGTGTTAATACTGCTGTCACTAGGGTGCAGCAGAGTGAAGGTACATGTTTGCAATTAAGCACAGTACATTCGTTGCGAATGTAACGAGACTGACCAGTGCTGCTGTTGGATAATTGCGAGTGGCTTTACAGACAAGGAGACAAGGTGACGGGCAGCGGCGCAGTAGAGTGCTGGAGCTGGGAGACCTCTGGAAGCACCTTTGCTGGAATAGCGGTGGAGACGCTGTCCTGACCTTTTCAAACAGCAGGTGCGTCCTTTCAAATGCCACCAGCCCCCGCTCCGTGTCTGAAGAGAGGGGTGGATTTTCGGGATAAACCCTCTTGGATTAGGATGAGAGGGCCCTGAGAATAGAACTCCACGCTGGGGCAGTGGCATTCGGGCCCTGCGGTGACCCCCTGGTCGCGGGATTCCTGGGATATTCTCTGGATCGTCCTTGGCAGCCGGCGGAGACACACAGGCTGCCACACATTGCCACTGACTTACGGATGGAGCTGCAGGCATCCCAGAAAACAGCAGGGATCAGAAAACAGCAAAATCAGAGACCAAATTAATCACAGAAAGGCCAGCCAGAGCTCCCCGGTCGTGTGTCTGTCTCTGCCTGGCTTTATTTAAAAGCAGCCCGCTCTGCTAGGAGCACTGTCAGAACACTGGCAGCTCTGCCTGGGGCCTGACAGCCAGCTCGCTGAGCTGCAGGGAGGAAAGCCGCTTGGGAGTTTGTTTGTCACTCTTAAGCCATGATCCACTGTCTGTTGAGGACACCAGACGTGCCCTATCACGCCGGGAGGGCTGCCCCCTGCCAGGGCACGCTGGCAGGGGGCTCAGGGTGAGGCTGGGACTTGCGCAGGGCAGCCCATGAGCACGAAGCCCCAGCAGAAGATAGTTTCTTGATTGTGTAAATATGTCTTCCATTACATGCTGAGCGAGCTGCCAAGCCATCATTATAGGGGTTTCCTCTGCCCCGGCCTGCCAGCCATCTGCTGCATTGCTAACCTTTGTTTATGGAGGGAGAGTGGAGCCTGATTCCTCTGAAGTCATGGCTCGCATAAAATACTGCTGGACACCGACCCGACTCGGCAGAGACTCGGCAGCAGACCTCTGACTGACCTGCCTACAAGATGTCCGTAACTGACATGATCCGGGTCTTCTAACGATCGTCTAGCCAAAACGCTTTTTCAGCACTAATGGCTGTAGCTTAATTTTACGTACTTCTAGGGGAAGTATATCCAGGGGATATAAAGCATTTCAGCTCCACCAGGGAGACACACAGCAGGCACCCTGCACCACTAGCTCCACCAGGGAGACCAGGGAGTGATCATTCTGCACCAGCAGATCAGGGGGCAAAAGAGAAACGGCTGCAGCAGGTGAATTAAGGACGAACATGAGGGAGGCCAGATGGTGTGAATTCAGAGTGGAATTTAATAAGATCTGTGATCTTGCATGCTGGCTTGTCATCTGCTTTGGCTGCCTGCAGATTCATTTTGAACAAGCATCTTTTCTCCACATGCAGGTAGATCTTCCTGCTGTGAAGTTCACTACTATTAATTCAGTTTTGCCTATTTCCTCAGCTGAGTGTTATTACAGGCGAGGTCAATGAAGTGCTTTTACAATGGCAGTGTCCCGCCAGACATTTGAACCTACAACCTTCCAGTTATGAGTCCTGACCCCTCCTCCAGAGCCTAACCCACACTGGTGCTGTGTTTCTGCTCCACGGAAGGTGGCCTTCTTGTCACTGGGGTGTGTCGCCTGTGGACTGCACTGAGCAATGTCTTCCATTAGCAGAATAAGACTGTTCCCCCCACCAGCTTGTCTCTAATTCTTTGCCGAAGTCTTGCTGTCTCAGTTCGCCCCAGGATTGCTCGAGGAAAAACCCTTTTCCACACCGTTTTTTAAAACGATCTGCCTCTGCCCAGCGGATTCTGAGCTGCTGGCCAGCTAAGCTGCTGTTTGAGGAATGTCCTTAGCCTCCTTTGTCTCAGCCCAAACTCCAGCCCATCTCTGGTCCTAAAGAGCCGCGTGGTTTTGGTGTTTGTGCTGAGCCTGTGGTCCGTCGCTGTTTGTCCTGGTCCAGAGAGGGCGGAGATGGGGCAGTCAGGCCGTCCTCCGCAGGGCTGGAGCCCGGAGATGTGCAGAGAAGGATGCAGAAGTGTGCCAGTGCTCCTCTGGGCAGCACAGCAGAAGGTTCCCAGGAAGGTGGCACTGCTTGTCCAAGGACGCCAGGATCGCAGGGTGACCTTCGGATACCCACAGGCGCCCCCAGTTTGAGCCTCTCTGTCAAGCTCAAGCCGATCAGCCCTGCAGAGGGGACA